ACTTTAGTTGGAAATGTTTTATGCATCATTCTTCTTTAGGGCTGTGGAGAATCATATAATAGCATACATTGCTGGTTATTACCTGTGGACAAATTTGTGTCGTATAAGGACCAGAAAGACATACCAGTACTACTAGTGTACTTCAGCATTGTCCAAGGTCTCTGATCGCCTGTGTTTCTTCAGTTTCATTTCTGTTACTGTGACAAGCGCCCTAACAAAAAGCAACATAAGGAGGAAAGGGTTTATCTGGCTTGCAATTCCAGGTCAGTCAGTCATTTTGGGGAAAGGCTGATACACAAACAGCTACTTATTTCATACCCACCTTGTCAAGAGCAAGGAGACAATGGATATATCTTTGCCTCTAAATTGTTCAGCATTTCCTTGCTAGGGAATGGTGCTGCCTAAGCTGGCTGAGTCTTCTCCCTCACTAACCAATCAAGACAATCCTCCAGACATGGAGACCAACCTCATTGCGGCTCTGTCTCCAGTTAACTTTAGGTTGTATCACGTTGATAATAAAAACTAACCAGCACACCTATTTATAAGGAAAATGGGAAGAAAGATGTTCAGCAAATGAAAACTGTACCCCTGGATGTTCTTTCGTCTGTTCTTTATTTCTGTATTTGTAGAATTGTCCACCGAAGGCTGCTCATGTGGGAGTCGGGGCAGGAATCAAGGTGGACTCTTCAGAAAGATGTTGGGTTTCCCCCTTCCCTCAGTTACTGGGCTTTAAGTCTCAGGATGAAGGAAAGCCCATTGCTTGCTACAGTAACTATACTTCACTGTACTCTGCCGGTCTTCCAACAAAACCAAATCTCTTCATTTTAGAAACATCTAGAGAAGACTAGAGGTCCTTACAGCTACATTAGTGTAGGGGTATGGAAGTCCCATGAAAGAGGAGAAAGGATTGCAGGAGCCAAAGGAGTAAATAGAATCAACTGAGCGACAAACACAGCCTGCATGGGTCTGCATTAGGGCCTCTGCATGTGCGTTATGGTTGTTAGCTTGGCATTCTTGTGGAACTCCTAACAGCTGGAGCTTAGGGCGTCTCTGAGTCTTCTGTCTGCTCTTGGGTCCCTTTTCCTCCTCGTGGGTTTCTTCACCCAGTCTTGATGTGAGGGTTTGTGCGTAGTCTTATTGCATCTTGTTAGGCCATGCTCAGTTGATATCCCTGGGAGGCCTGCTGTCTTCCAAAGGAAAACAGAGGAGCAGTGGATCTGGGGGAAAGGAGGGGTGTGGGACAGGCAGGGCTGGGGGAAGTGGGGGGAGGGAGGGCTGCAGTTGGGATGTAATTTGTGAGAAGAGTAAATAAATTGCAGCCTTTAACACCCGTCAGATCTCCTGCCTGGATTCTAACACTGAGGTTGGCACACAGGATACTTTAAACATTACACGACAAAGAGCAAGCTTAGAGAATGAACTAGTTTAGTTTAGTTCTATCGCATTACTGTTTAGAAACATCAGTTTGTTTCCTTTGGGTTTATTTGGGGCAGGGGTGAGAAGGACAACCCACATTTAACACCTAAACCTTGGAAACACTGATGGAATGGAAGCCCCAGGTGCTATTAATCCCAGCATTCGGGAGGCAGAGGCAGGCAGATCTCTTAGGAGTTTGAGGTCAGCCTGGGCTACAGAGCAAGTTCCAGAGACAACCAGAGCTCCGTAATAGACCCTGTCTCAAAAACAAGCAAACAGCTGGGTGCTGAAACAGGACAAGGTGGACACATTGAAAGTTCTGTGGAAATTCAAAGTGAAACTCATTCGTATCTAGCTACGTGTAACATCGACTCTATCTGACATACCGAGACAAGCCATGTGTGGATGAATTACAATTAATGATTGGCAAAATGTGATGACTTCAAGTCTGGAACAAAGTCCCGCCTAGATCCTAGTTGTTAGTAACCTAATTAACTTCCCTGGTTTCCTCACCTGGAGATGACAGGACCTTTTTAAATACATGGGATTTAAAGTTGTATGACATAAGTCTGCTGAACTCGTCCAGCCCTGATGGGCGAGCATGCATAATTTAAGGGGTCTGAAGCAGAGAGAGAGGGGACTTGCGCATGAGACGTGCTGTGGTTATTTTTAAAGCATCCATAGTTAATCAGCTTCAACCAGCACCTGAGTTTGCAAAGGTTTTGGATATCTTCTCCTATTGTGTGGTCTCCACTCAGTATAATGCGATGTTTCTTTAGATTCCTCCTTGTTTGGTCAGGGAATGGAGAAACGTTATTTGGCACTTGTTTTTTTATTGGTAGACGGTAAAGAACGGCAAAGATGGACGGTCAAAGGACTGTAGGTATTGATTAAGTATTGTTGAGTCCCCGGTAGTGGGTTTCTCTGCCAATGAAATAAGTCAGATCAGGCCGAGTTAAAAGTCCAGGGTTAATGAGCAAAGCATTCCCGAGTGACCTTGGGAAATGGGGAGAAATTGTTAAATATTTTTTTAAACGAACCTCTCCACCAAACGCAAATAATCCCAATCAGACCAAATCAGATTGAATTAAAAGATACCCAGGCTTAATGAATGGCAATACTCCTGGGTGACCCCGGGAAAACATGGAGAGGGGAAGAGGGCAAAGGGGAGACCAAGTGTTCATTCTCTGGGGAGCAGTTTAAATAGTCTGTGGGAGTTGTCTTGACTTTCCCTGGGGAGAGGTTACCGTTTGGAGGGCTTTTTTGACCCTCCCTGGGAAGAGGTCACTTTTTGGCGGGCTTTCTTGGAAGTGGAGTTTGGACTGACGCAACTCCCAGGGGATGAAATTTATGCCAGGAGCTGGGGTGAAGTCCCCAGCTAAATAAACAAGAATGCAACTTGTATAATAATTGTGGCAAAAAAACAGACACGCATCTTTCACTGAGAAAATCCTTAGTTCGTGTCATAAGATAGACTAAGAAAAGTTTTAAATGTTCACTTTTTTAAAATGAAAGATGATTGCTGGGCGTTGTGGTGCATGCTTTTAATCCTAGCACTTGGAAGGCAGAGGCAGGTGGATCTCTGAGTTAAGGGCCAGCATTGTCTACAGAGCGAGTTCCAGGACAGCCAGGGCTACACAGAGAAACTATCTTGGAAAAAAGAAGAAAGATAGTTTTCTAACACATATTGTTTCTGAACTCAGTTTTTATCATCATGAAAAAAGAAATAAAAGCCCAGGAAGGCCATGACTGCTCCTAGGTATGGTGGAGGAGATGGTTTATCGTACAGATGCGGAAGAGCATAGCCAGAGGCAGGGTTATCTCGGGGGAGTCCAGAGTAGACAGTCCAGACTGAGCAGGGCCATGCGGGAGAGGGGAAGAGGAAAGAGGGGACCCAATCCAGCACCAGGGGGCCAAAGGTACAAAAGGGGCTGGTAACCAAATGTTTGGATTATGTAGGGAAGAGCCTCTGGGGGAAGGGCAGCCCAGCCCCTGCTGGAGAGTCAGGGTAGAGGGCAGGGGAGGGATATGCCCCGTCATATCCAGTAACAGGTAGGGACTGAGGGGATATTGGGAGGACCTGGCAGACAGGTCAGCCATTTGCCCCAGGTTTGTAACTAACACTCAGTCACTCAGGAAGCAGTTACTCCTGCCTCAGCCAATGAAGTCATGGGATCACACGCACGTGCCCCCACGTTCGGCATAAATATTGATACTCTTTGACCCACCAGTTCTTCTTTTAGCATGCTGCGCAGGAAGTAGGGCAGAAAGCACGAGTTGTATACTTAGTGTGGCATGGGACATCAACTCTCAATGGGATATTTGATAAATTATGATTCGGTTGTGCAATGCTAAGAACAATTGCCTTAAGGACTTTAAATTAAAAATTGTCTAGACTATCTTTTGTCACTTTTTACAATATCTCGATTTTTCTTCGGAAAAATCACTTTCCACTCTGTGTTATCTGACTGCATATCTTAGTTTCGGATGCTTCTGGAAAACAGAGCCTGAGATGGCGGTTTGCAATGCTGGAGTTTACTGGGACCAGACCTTCAAATTATTCCTCACTGACTGGAGACTGGCTATTAGGTGAGATTTTTGTGTGACCTTCTCCTAAATGGCTCTTAGGTCCAGTGAGGGAGGACTCAGCAGCCAGAAAATTAGATACTTCAGCAACAAATCCTTTTTAAATAGCAAATGATTTAAGGAAGTGGTTCTCAACCCGTGGGTCGCAACCCCTTGGCAAAAATTTATCTCCAAAAATATTTACATTACGTTCATAACAGCAGCAAAATGGCAGTTATGAAGTAGCAACAAAAACAATTTCATGATTGGTGGAGTCACCATATGAAGAATTGTATGAAAGGGTCGCAGCATTAGAAAGGCCGAGAACTACCAGTTCAAAGGAAGGCTGATACTCAATACAAGTCAGAAAGACCCATTTGGGGAATTCTACCCACCTCCCTCGTTATCCATAAGAAATGAGGGGTTTTGGTTCTGAGTTGTCTAGGCAGGGTTAAAAGACAACATGGATGTTCTTCACTGCACAGCTGAGTCTAGTCACAGTGAAGCTCATGAGCCCAACACGCAGGAATTGAGTCTTGAAGGTATTTTTAGGTAATTAGACCCACTGCTTAAGTCTCTGGGCTTTTAAGGTTAGCAAGACCACGGATAATTGCCTTCCCCCGCCCCCCCCCCCCCCGCCGTTAGTTTAGTGTGTACTGACAAATACCATGGTGTACAAGAATGGCGGTATAGACATAAAGTAAGTGTAAAAAGACAAAACGAAACCAAAACCTCAGGTTAACCCCAGTTTTGTAAAACAAATATGCACACTAAAAAAAGAAACTCAGGACGAGACTGGGAAGCAACGTCCCCGTTGGGAGTGAGAGGGCTGGTGTAATTTTATTCGGTCTGTTTCAAAGATGCCAGGCTGGATTTTCTGCCCCAACTAGCAGGACTTCCTTGAACTTGCGTTTTCAGGGAAACCCTACCTTGCCCGTCCCTGCTCCACTTGGATTTGCTCTGAGGCTGAGGCGACCCCAGCGCGAGGACAGCGGGGCGGGCGCGGCGGTTTCCCCGCCCCGGGGCGACACCCAGCTCGGCCGCGGTTCCGCCCAGTCCGGCCCGCCGCGCGCAGCCTTCGCCGCCATGTCCGCCGGGGCCAGCGTGAGCGCCCTGCAGCGCCTGGTGGAGCAGCTCAAGCTGGAGGCCGGCGTGGAAAGAATCAAGGTGAGCGTGGCAGCCGGAGCCCGGTGCCAGCCCCGCCGCCCGGGGAGCCGCTTGCAGGACGCCGCGGCCCGGCCCAAGTGGCGGCTGCCGGGCCGGGCGCGCGCCGGGGCCTCGAGGGCTCGCGAGCCGCGCGTGGACGCGGGGTGGCTCCGGGCGCGACCCCCGGGGTAGCGCCGGAGGCCCACGGGTGCGCCCCTCCACGCAGCCAGTCCGAGGGCCCCGTGGGCGTGTCCACACCGGCCGGTGACACGCTGGCGGCCTGGGCTCTGCCTGATCGGCGGCAGCCGGAGGATGCAGTTTAGGGATGGGGAGGGAGGTCCCTGAATGGGCGAATGAGAGCGAGAGGGAAGAAAGATGCTCAAACTGGGGGGATCGGGAGGGAGAGTTTGCGGAAATGAGTTCCATTTTGGATCTGTGGATTTTTATGGAGATATCTAGGAGAGATTTAGCCGCGTGGACAGAAGCCCACAGCACAAGGCCCAAAGAAGTCATTAAGATTTGAGTATTGCCGGGCGGTGGTGGCGCATGCCTTTAATCCCAGCACTTGGGAGGCAGAGGCAGGCGGATCTCTGTGAGTTCGAGACCCTGGTCTACAAGAGCTAGTTCCAGGACAGGCTCCAAAACCACAGAGAAACCCTGTCTCAAAAAAAAAAAAAAGATTTGAGTATGAAACAGACAAAGAGCAGAATTTGTAGCACAATTCAAAAGAGATTGTCCAGAGAAGGCGAGGGAAGGAAAAAACAAAACAAAAACAAGCCAGAGGCATGGTTCAGTGGTTGCGCACTGGCTGCTGTTTTGGAGGATCCAGGCTCAGTTCCCAGCACGCGCACAGCAGCTCATAGCCATCTGTAAATACAGTTTCAGGGGCCTGATGCCCTCTTCCGGCCTCCTCAGGCCAGGCACGTGCGTGACTCACAGATAGATAAGACAAGCAGTCAAAACATCTGTAAGACTAGGGGTTGGGGGTAGGTGAAGGGGGTGGGAGGAGGGGAGGGAATGGGAACTGGGATTGGTATGTAAAATGAAAAAAAAAAATAGTTTAATTTCTTTAAAAAATAAAAGGAATTTTAAAAATCCATAAAATAGGAATGGCGGCTCCTGAACACAGCAGTGTGTCCTCAGTTGGCTGGGAGTGTGATTGGCAGCTGATGTGATGTGTAGTGTGGATAGGAACGGGTGAACCGTGTTGGTAGTCAGTTTCTGTGGTAGTGTAGTAACCCAACTTGGTGCTACTCCAGGGAATAGGGGATTCGGGTGGATACGGTAAACAAGCAAACTAACTAGAATGATTTCAGATAACCAGGTTTACAAGGTAAAGGGACAGGCTTAGCCAACTCTGGACTTTACAAGAGGCCAAGCAGGTTAAAAAAAAAATCTAGTTTTAAAGAGGATAGATATATTGACAGAGAAGGTTGTTTGGGGAGAGAACATAGTGGGCTAAAAAAATATATATAATGTATATATATATACATATACACATATATATGTATTATGTATATACATATATATTTATATATACTACTTCAAAAATAGAAGGGGTTTAGGGGTTGAGGGGAAAGATTTATTTATTTTGTCACTGTTTTATTTTGTCAAGGGAAGAAACCAATGGGGGTAAGGTGACTGTAGAGGGTTTGGGGTGGTGTCTTCCAGGATAGGAGGGAAGGGAAGTTGTGTGTAGAGTTCCTCTGATTATGGGTTACTGCATGCAAGACTGATGGCAGTCTTGTGAAACAGGAAGCTGAGCTTACTTCTAGGCCCGTGGGACGGGAACTAGCCAAGGGTGGTGGAAGTGCTGGCCACAGTGGCTCACTGACCTGAGCAGTCACAAACCTGGAATAGCAGGCCTGTCACTTGTGGTTCCGTTTCCATCACTGGCATCTGACGACCAAGGATTCTGAGAGCAGAAAGCAAATGGAGGTTGATTCAGAAGGTGGGTTTAGTAAGAGGTATGCCAGAAAGTAGGGGTGGGGTCAGAAGCCAAGGAACCTCAGGGTCTGGCTGGAAAAGGCTGAACCCAGACTGCAGAGAGAGCGAGCAGAGTCCGCCTTCTAGTGATAGTGACGACACAAGGAGCAGCGACACCTAGTGGTCATTGTGCAGTCAATGCAAGAGGAAGCAAAGGCACCCTAGATAGTTGAAGTTGTGGTCCCTCACCTCCCAAAGCCGAGCAGTTACTGGTGTTGGGTGGGGCTGCTATTGGCAGAGAAGGTTGTTTGGAGAGAGAACATAGGGGGCGAAAACTAGAGTTGTTCAGAGTGTTCAATATCATTGGGCTTTGAACCTGGAAGGAAAACTGAACCAAATGCCCACTCTGCTTGCGAACATTCTCGGGGAAAGAGACTCTGATCTACACTTGAGAAAGGACTGGATGATGACACACACGGGCATTCAGGGGAACCTGGGCAGCCCTGTAAGGGAGTCACATTACAGAATCTAGACAGCGCCATTGCAGGGCTCAGCCTTGGGTGTTCTTCTCACATGTAGACACACCTAGACACACGTAAGGCAGACACCAGTCTTCTAGCGTCCCTTCCCAGGGTCTGGAAAGCCCGCTGTCTCGAGGGCTCCTCCTCTGGAGCGGCCTCTGAGAAGTTGCTGAGTCAGATAACCCAGGCGGGACAACCAAACCTCCATGGCAGGGACAGCTTGCAGGGCTTGGGGGTTCCCTTGACCCTACTGAGAGGTGCTCCCCTCTCTTAGCTTGTTTTCTCTGAGCATCCCTTTTATGTGGGGGTCGGGTTAGTCCCCTTCCTCCAGGTGTCCTGGGAGAGTCTCCTACCTACCACATATGCAGTTCACCTGCTTCCCTGAAACACAGTAAGCAGGACATGATTTGTTCTGCATTTCTTTGAAAATCAATAACTTACATAAAGCCATTAGTTCCAATGTGAAAATATCGGAGCTTCTGTTGATGAAAAATTAGCTTAAACGCTAGTCTGGTTATATTGTATTTTTAAATACTAACAATTAAGATTTTTAGCACGAAAAGCAAATCCCTAAGGCACGTCAGAAGCGTGGTAGCAACTGTAAGCCCACGGCAAACAGCTGTAACAACTGTATTAGTCTCTTCCTGTAGCCAGATGCCAGGCACCACATACAGAGGAACATAACGAAACGCTTTTATTTCAGTTTACGGTTCTAGAGGGTCCAAGGTCTACAGGGGTTGCCCCGGCTGGCGGCTTTTAGCTGGTCACTTCCCAAGGCCGCACTGGGCTTTTCATGATGGGAGGCAGGGGACATGCATGCCTATGTCTGTCCCTCGGGCCTCCTTCAGATAGAACCTCCAGTTATTAGTCACGGGGGTTCCGCCCTGATGACTTTATCTAATCCCAATCTCCTCCCAAAGATGAGCCTTGAGGCGAACACAATACGTAATGGTTTAAGTTTCTATCCTCTTGTAGCTGGAGAGATGGCTCAGTGGTTAAGAACACTGGCTGCTCTTCCTGAGGTCCTGAGTTCATTTCCCAGCACCCACAGGGTGACTCACAACCATCTGTAACTGTAGTCTCCTGGGATCTGATGTTCTCTCCTGTGTGCAGATGTACCTGTGGACAAAACACCCATGTACATAAAATACATAAACAGCCTCTATCATTCATAGTGAAAATTACATTTCAACATACACACCTTTGGAGGACATACTCAAGCCATGGCTAAAACGATTTATTTACTTATTTATTTATTATGATTATTATAATTATCAGTAGTACTATTATTAATCTTGTGCACTGTGCTAGGGGCCGACTCCAGAGCCTCGCTTGTGCTAGGTGAGCATCCCGTCACTGAGACCCACCCTCAGCCCCAGAGACCTCATTCTTAACCAGGAGGCTGTATTTTCTGAAAAGCACAGCAGAATAATTCTCTCACTTGCTTGGTACGACTGGACAGAGCTCCAGCCTTGCTCACACGGCCAGCTCAGATTGTCAGCACAGGTTTTAAGTCATAGACCGCTGTACAGGGAGCTTGGGAATGAGCCATTTCCTTACCAGTTCAAACTTGAAACTGGAATTCTAACTGGATCAGAGTTGCAGCCTTTCCTTTGTTAAAGCAAAACACGTGTACCTAGAACTCAATCGTAGACTGCAGTCTTCCTGGGAATGAGTGACTGAAACCAGCAGAGCCGTGGATGATGATAACGCTGTCCAGCCGCCTCGGGCTGCCTGGTGCCCGCCGCTGGGCCTGGTGTGAGCAGGGTGTCCCTGTGCTTTGCTGCAGGTCTCGCAGGCAGCCGCGGAGCTCCAGCAGTACTGCATGCAGAATGCCTGCAAGGATGCCCTGCTGCTCGGCGTGCCAGCCGGGAGCAATCCCTTCCGGGAGCCCAGGTCCTGTGCTTTACTCTGAAGACTGGTGAGTTACGGTGCACAGTGCCAGATCGGGGCCATAACGTTGTGAGGGAGCTTCCCAAAGTATTTGGGCAACAGAGGTTAAACCAACCAACCTGTTAAAATGCTAGACTTTGATGGGTGGTTCTGGGCTGTACTTTCCCTGCACATGGAGGAGGTCTAGCTAAGAGAAGCCCTGCTCTCTTTGGCACCACTCTGACATGCTGTCACTTGTAGACACGAGCTCTTTAACTGAGCTGATGCAGTATTTCTTGACCTTCATTCCCTCTCTGCCCATATAGCATCCCAGAGTTGTGATTTGCTATCTGGTGTTTCCAGCTGACTTTGTCTGCCTTGGGCTGTGGTTTCCTCCCTTGATTTTCGTAGCTGTGCGTGCGTGCGTGCGCGTCTGTATGTGTATGGAGCTAAAGGAGTTTTTACAGGTTTATTCATTAGAATGGCATATTATAAGTTTGAATGTTTTGCATTGAGGTCTTATATTTCCACATTTTTTTAAAAAATTTATTGATTTGTGGTAAATAAGAACGAAGTTTAAATCCATTAAGGGAAAATGAAAATTATAAGCATTTCTAGAGAAGGAAGTGCAATCTCAAGCGTTAAAAGCTTACCAAGAACCACCTGCATAAGAAATCAGCATTTGGAGCTAGAACTGGTATACTAGTGGGGAAAAGGGAAAAAAGTGAGAGGGGGGCTGAGTCCAGAGACTGAAACAGGAACAGGAGCTCTCAAAGGCATTTTTAGAAACAGGAATTCACAGTAAGAAACAGACACAAACCTGACCAAGAATGAGACCCGGGGTGCAACAGGAAACAACTCAGTTGGAATAAAAAACCAAAACCTCCAGATTTTAATCCCGATATCGCACCCTGATGCACCCCCAGCAGATTCAGAATAAAATGTGGGTCAAACAGTTTCAGAACTGCTCACCCTGGAGGCCAGCGGTGGGGAAATAGTACTTTGTTTAGATCCTGTCAACATGGAAAGGGGGCATGTCAAAAGAGGGATTATGCAAGGTCCGTTTTCAAATGATTGCAGAATCCCGGCTTTTCTCAGTGAGTGGATCTTGAAATGACCGACCTCACAGCCTCTGGTGTTCCGAGGAAGGGCAGTTCTACCCACGGTCATCAAGTGCCCTGTTCGGCTCCTGACAAGCCCAGTGGTTCCTTCATCACCTCCTGCAGACCGCAGGGCTGCTTCAATATAAGAATTGAATTTAAAACCGTTTTAGAGTATAGATCCTGTCCGTTCTCGATGAGAACATGCAGGACAGGTGGGGCACTGCTAATGTGCGCATGCTCAGGTAGTGTCCTCCACACCTCACCTTAGCTGCTTTGTTTCAAGAGGAAGCTCTTGCCAAAGCGCGTGCCTCCATATTTCCTGGTATGGCTTGCAGTCTCTGACTTTTACCTGCCTACCAACCTAAAAACTTTCTAAAGAAATGAAAGCCGGGCAAGTTTAAGGCCAACCTGGCTAACTCAGCAAGACTGTCCCAAAATAAATAAATGGTTGGGAGAGCAGCTTAGCAGCTTGGCGTGCGCAAGGCCTGCCGTCTCCCTATATTTCCTTTTTTAAGATGACAAGAACATAGATTATTAGTCTTGAGACCAACATATTTCAGATTTTGTATTTACACAACAAATGATCATCTTTTTCACATACTTGTAAAAGGAAATTGTTTATATTGAATCAGGAGCTGCTTGTGCTGTCAGGCACAATTTCTGTAGTAAAGGGAACGGTGCCTCGGACCGCTGTTAACTCCTGCACCACACTGTGGGTCTCCCTTCACGAAGCACCGCCGTGCGTGCTGTTCGTCCAAGGGTGTGGTTTGCATATCTTACTGTATTCGTGTATTATTTTCTACCTCGTGAATATTGGGTGTCCTGTGAAATGATGGGTGACCCTCACTAACGTGAAAACTGACCACACTCTCTCCGACAGGGAAGGAGTTCTGGGAAGCACACGGGGAGAATGACCGCCCACGTCGCAAGAAGACAGTTTCCACAGCCAAATCCCATTCTCTGTTGCCTGGTCCTAGAGCCAAACTCTACAGAAATCCATTTTTGTAACCCTCATCTCCAAATTTACTGAGTTGCATCTCTCACCCCATAGAACCTGTGTTGCTCCGCCGGGGATACGGGGATGTCCTACTTACTGGGGGTTTGCATTTTAGAAGGGAGACGTTTTGTTTTCAAAAACTGAGATTTGTAATTTTCCTAACATTTTTATACTCTAATAAAATTTGTTCATAAGAATTTACTATTACTAAATGAAGACAAAGTATAAAATTGGGGGAATAATTGATATCTTGATTTTTTTTTTTTAAAAAAAAAAGGAAAACATTTTCATTTCTTAATGAAATATGGTCTTACTTTGACAGTAAACTTGGGAGATGCTCTTAGCCAACTAAAAAATTGATATAGCGTCAGGTTGCCCATCCTGGGTGAGGCTGGTTAGGTCTTTCCTTACTTCCTTTAGTTTACAACTTACAATTGTTTTTGTAGGTCTTAAAAATGTGCTTGTACCTTTAAAAACATTTAAATGTGGCCTACTACATTCAGAACACTGCAACTGGTTAAAAACGAAATATGAAAATATTATAACCTGTAAGAACTAATGTCACAAGTACCTTATTTGGGTGATGTGCCTTTGGTTTAATTGGGGACACTTTAGAAGGAAAGTCTGTGTTTATAATAATCTTTGAAGAACTTGGAAATAAAGTTTTTGCCTAATTCATTGTTTTCCACGAGAATGGTATTCTGTGTTTGCTTTTGTCTTTTGGGATGCCATGGGTTTCTATCTGCTGCTGAGAGGGAGCGCTGCATGCAGAGGGTGGAATGTGGCTTTGCAATCCTGTAGAATGTCTCCAGAAGTACAAGCCACAGCTGCTCCCTGGGCTAGCTCTGCCTGGCACTCACCCATGCATAAGTAAGTGGAAAAACAAGAACACTGGTCGGATTGCAGTGGAGAGGATGGAAGCCGTTAGCTGAGCCCCCCCTTAATTCTCAGCATCGTGCAGATATCAGCGAATTGGATTCGTACTAATCATAACTTGGGTGTCCTTTTGATGCTTCTATTATCTGTTTAGTCTTGTCTGAAATTGTATATTATCTATTTCTTTCTTCAATCTTTTCTTTCCTAATAGCATATATGTTCCACTCCATCTCGATTAATAAGAATTTTAATAAGCACTCCAAATTTCCATTAAAAACAAAATTCTCTTTGGATCCACTTTTTCCTTCAGCAGCACTCCATGAGATAGTTGAGTGAAACTACAGACATCGTACAGGCACAAATGTCCCGAATGTATGTAGGCAGATCAGATCCAGCAGTATATTAAGAGAAGATGCCCCGAAGAAGGAGCTGGTTGAGCACAAGGGAATCTGCAGTGTGTAAGTCATTACGAGAGTGTAGAGAAGGGGCCCTGGGCCAGAGAGTTAACCTGAGGAAATCCAGTTCTTGTTCTCACTTTCTCTCAGACATGGAGAATGACTGTCTTAATGGATTAGTGAGACTGCCTTGGAAGCTGCTGAATTAAACAATGCGATTTTTAAAAATTGAAATGAAATATGAAAATGGCATACTGAAACCTATTTGTATGTAAACTAAAAAACGAATGCTGAACTTTGCTAAATATCTTAGGGGGAATTAGATATATTCATATTAATTTTTCCTTAAATATCAGTTATATTAATGAGGAATTATATTAATACACACCCTGTCGTGGAACTATCTTTGCACTCTAGGAACTGAACTCAGATGGATTTTGATTTCATTGTTGCTATGGTAATCTTCCATTAGAATTTTGCACCGATAAAAGTACGGTTCCATAATTTTCTTTTTTGCAGTGTTAGATTTTGGTATTTATTATATTATATTCATTACAAAACATAATGTGGAAATGTTTTTCTAATGTTACGTAGCATTAAATTATTTACACATTAAAAATAAGCTCCAGAGCCGGGCGGTGGTGGCGCACGCATGCCTTTAATCCCAGCACTCGGATTAAAGGCGGATCTTTGAGTTTAAGGCCAGTCTGCTCTACAGAGCAAGTTCCAGGACAGCCAGGGCCACACAGAGAAACCCTGTCTTGAAAAACAAACAAAAAGCTACAGAAAAAATGGGTTAGGAGTTTAACACTAAAAGATTTAATCAGTGGCCAAAATATAGGAATCTAGATCTAAGAAAAGTGAAAACACATTTTTATATCCCTACGCTGGGTAAGGAGAATATAGTACTACATAAGGCTTCATCTTGGGAAAAAGACTGACATCTGCTCTGGCCTTGCAGGCCACACAATTTAAATAATAAGAAAAATTAAATCTTAACAATGACTGTGTTGGGAACTTAGGGTAGCTCTGGCATCCACATATGTACATATAAGTGAAAAGCCAAATCTGAAAAGACAAAATGCTTGTGAAGTACACATACATCTGAATAGTTTTTGGGTCTTATGTTTATTAAGCTAATTGATAAATCAGATAATCAGATTTAGATGCAAGTTACAGGACAAATTATATATTATGAAAATAGATATATGATAGAACACTGAGGACATATAAAATGATAGTTTTTTATGCATAATCAAACCTAAATAATTCTGTTACTGGATTATCATAAAGTAGACTCTGGTATGCGGCACTGTCCTTTCTGTTCTTCATAAAAACCTCAGCCGAGTTTGCCCGTCCATTCTTCCAGGGACTTTTTCATACATTAGACGCCGTTTTTTGGGTTGTGGTACTTGTGAGTACATTAAGCCTGTCAAAAGGAGGAAAAGGAAAACCACTTTATTGGGATAAGTAACTATGAAAAATGGTTGTTCCTTTAATAATAAACCATGAATGCACCTGTCACTAATGGCTCTGTGTTTAAAATCAGTACACACATAGATCATGCGAGTCATTCATTATCCTCTTCTGTGAAGCTGTACAATCTCTAAAGTCTTTCCTTGCTCTGATATTTTTAAATAAAACCATTGGAAATAGCTCAGGAAGCAACTCAGCAGGAATAAGTTCAAGGCTTACTCGGACTGACTTTGAACTCACACAATGCTCTGTTCTTCGGCTCTGTACACCACTGAGACTATTCATATCACAATCAATATGCTCACATTAGCTGTTCAGCTTTCATTCCAACATCTTTATTTAAAAATTTAATTTCTGCATGTGAACTCTGTGTGTGTGTGTGTGTGTGTGCACACATAGAGGTCAGAGGATGACTTACTGGCGTCAGCACCCTATCACTATTTGGGTCCCAGGGATGAACTGAGACCAGCAGCCTTGGTGGCAAGTGCTTCCATCTGCTGAGCCTTCTCTCCAGCGCCACAGTATTGTTAACACGCCATGTTTAAAACACTCTTGTCAGGGCTGGAGAGATGGCTCAGTGGTTAAGAGCATTGCCTGCTCTACCAAAGGTCCTGAGTTCAATTCCCAGCAACCACATGGTGGCTCACAACCATCTGTAAAGAGGTCTGGTGCCCTCTTCTGGCCTTCAGGCATACAGACAGAATATTGTATACATAATAAATAAATAAAAAAAAAAATAAAACACTCTTGTCAGTTACAAGTCTATTCCTGCTCCTATATTTACACTATAAAAATTATCCTCAGTCCTAACACATGACAGGAAGTGACCAGGAATGACTCACTTCCACACACATGTGCAGGCATCAGTACATGTGCACCCACATGTGAACATTCATACATGCACACATGCTGCATGCATACACATGCAAAGTAAAATTAGTTATTCAAAACTACATTAATTAAAATTTACATAGATATCTGAGGATTCCATCAATATGCCTAAACGCTTAAATGTCAGAATTTAGAAACACTTTCTTCACTTTTCTCATGAGAGAATGGGAAGATGATATAGGGAAGTGCTCCATGTCCAAGAATCTATAGAAGTCACATGTATAATCTGTTGTAGAGTAGGATGGGGTTTGAGCTGGTTCACTTATAAAGCTGCTGTAACAAAGCACGTGCACACGCACAAGCACACACACACACACAACCACCATCAGCTAAATGCATGACTCTTGATATGAAGATCAGAACTAAACAGAGGACCCATACTAACAGTGTCCCTATGCATATACACAACAGGATTTTATTCAGCTTTAAAGAAAAATGAAATCATAACATTTGTAGAACGATGGATAGAACTGTAAAGTATGTCAAGTGAACAGTCAGGAACTGAAAGACAGCCAGGCATATTATTCTCTCATGTGGTGCTTGGATAGTAATTTGTATATTTATGTTCAGGGTTAGGATAGGTCATCAGACTAGGAAAGGAACCATGAGGGCCAAGAGAAACTTTTAAGGGGTGGGGCTAAAAGGAAGTAATACCTGTGATATGGGAGCAGAAGGAAGGCTGCTGGGTGGGAGAGGACAGGGGGCCATCAGGAGGTGAGGGGCAGGGCAGGGGAGTAGGGGAGGATGATCAAGAGTGAGGTTTTGGAGGCTTTCTTTTAATAAAATATAAAATGTGAGGGTTCCCCACCTCCGGGCCTGCTCTGGTCTTTTGAAGGAGTCTATGAAAAGAGAAATTTTGAAGTTTAACTTTTTCTTCTTCTCACTCCTGGCTACCTGAACGGCAAAGCCACATTCATATGCCTTATGATATCTGAACATTTTATTCTAGAAGTCAGGTCAATGCCATAAGAAATTATACAAAAATAAGGGCACAAGCACTGAGAAAATAAAGTATCCTTTCTAAAAGTGAACGATAAAATGTTCAGATAAGTCGAAAACATCCATCAGCGTGAAGCTGATGGGTTCCTACCTAGTAAAGTTAAACAATGCATAGAAAAGGATTTAGCATCATGTGTGTGTGCGTGTTTGTGTTACACATGTACATGTGAAGGCTGGAGGACAAACTCGGGTCTTCCTCCTCAGGTACCATCCATCCTTATATTTGTGAGACAGAATCTCTGGCTTACAGCTTGCCAAATAGGCTGGCTAGCAGCAAACCCATGGGTCCACCTGTCTCTGCCTCCCAAGCGCTGGGGATCCACGCCATGGCCACAATGCCAGGTTTTTGTGTGTGGGTTCTGGGTGCTGAACATGGGTCCTCATGCTTGCACAGTAAGCACCTGAGTGACTGAGCTGTCACCACCCCTAATCAACATTTGTCAACATTTGTACCTGACAGGCTGATTCTTGTTTAATCCTGATCATCTGCTTTACTTAAATTTGCTATTTTTATTTTAAATTTCCTTTTTCCCCCTTATTTTGTTTGTCTATTTGTTTTGCAATAGGGTCTCTCTATGTAGCCCTGGTTGTTCCGGAACTCACTATGTAGATCAGGCTGACCTCA